AAAACACACAAACTTTTAGCACCTTTCGTAGGATATGACTATTGGTTTGGGACTTAAATATCTCTAGAAAAAAACTTTCTTCTGAGATACAATTTTCAGGGCATTCTACTTACAAATAGATCTATCTATGGGGAAAATCTCAGATAGAAATACTGTCATTCGATTTGTTGGTATATACCATGCCAGAGACTAAAATTCCACTAAAATGTCTAAAACTCTGGACAGAAGGTCTATGGACACTTGTCCTTTTGAGGTTTTCCATACCTCACTGCAGTCTACCCTATGCATACAGTTCGGACTCCGAAAAACGATTGTACAGTTGAAAACTTTCCCTCGTAAGAAGGAGGGTTTATCCTCGATTTTGAAGTTTTCGCAAATTTTTTGAGCTGTCTACTGAAGAAATACAGAAACTTTGTGAAGAAAAAGACATATACTCATGGCGAATTCAAACCAAACTACGAATAAAATGATATTTCAGGAACGGTCGGACACTTTTATGAACCGACCATTTTTTCAGTGATTATTTTTGATTTCCATGCTTTCTTCAAACTCATTCATCATGGAATTAAATACTTATTTTTCGTAGTCTCTAGCTAGTACATTAGAGAAATTATCGTTTTTCCTTGTAGGAATCCTCTCTTTACTCAATAAGCAGCCAAACCTTCCCAGAACTTCAAAATTGATCTTCAAACTACCTTACTTATCAGGCAGTTTTCATTTGAAGTCTCTCAAAATTCTATAACTGGATAGTACCTTGAAAGTTGATGATAATACATACAAAGCTCATAACTAAATCTTGTTCCTTCTGCGAGAAATTGAGCATAGAAAATCACGGAAAACTCGATTTGTAGAGGAACATTTTCAGTACGAATAAAGCTATCGAGAAAACTATTTTCGCTTAATAAAAAAACTTCTCTGTGATATTAATTTGAGATCTGAATTGCGATCTGTTTAGTTGACATATAAATGCACAAAACATAAAAAATTCCTATATTTTTCAGCGATTTCGCTGTTGAAGTCGACTCATAAATCTTTGATATGTTTAAGTTCATTTCTTTTTGGAAATACCTAAAAACTTCAAATAGGCTCACAGCGAAAATCTGAGTTAAGAAAGACGTATCTTTCATGAGATATCGGTGTCAAAAAATCGAAAAGAAAGTGATTTTTTCGCCAAAATGGCCTTAGAACAACTTGAATATCTCAAGAGCGGTATTATATTTTTTCAAATTGCTTGCACATAAATGCGCGGGAAACTCGTCTCTATAACTAATGAACGGCCGTGAATTGGTGATGACATAGTCAGCGATTCCTAGGGGAAATTAATGAGATGTTTCGTCGAATGCGTCACACACCCCTGTACGAAAATGACCAGCTCTACGTAGAACTCATTAAGTTGTATGCCTGCACAAAATTTCAGCTCATTCTATACAGCTAACTTCAAGATATAGCCACATGAAGTCAAGCTCAATGGAAATGGTGATTTTTGGGCCTTTTCGAAAAACGATATTAAAAAATCGAGCGTTCAATATTTTTCAAAATGGCGTCCGTGAAAATTCTCAGAGCTTTTCCCTTCACAACATATATCAAATTTAGTAAAATCGGATGACACCGTTTGAGCAGGTTCTGGCGTCGCTCACATGGGCTGGCTCATGAGATAACTAGCATGTTGTAATATGATACACATAGAAACTAAACACGAGCAACATATTTTGAAAGATTTAGTTAAAGAAATATCTATTTGCATATTAAAGACGAATATAATTGTATCAAAAGAATAGACAATATTCATATGTTCGTAATTAATGAAACAATTGTTCATGCGTAATAATCATGTTTTACTTGCGAAGGATTGTGAAGTATGTTTTACTTCAATCAATAACTCTTCTATGGGTTTATTCGAGTGCGTCTGAAAGCGTTTATTTGAACTGACAAATGGAAATAATTATACTTTTTATACTAATTCATATATTACCTATATATTCATGTTTACTTCTATGTGATTTTTCTTTTCCTTTTTTCTTTTCCTTTCCTTTTATTTTTCAGAATAGGAAACACCAATATCTATTTCTATTTCTCAATTACTGCGCCCCCCCCCTCCTTCGTTCAATCTTCGTTCTTGCCGCTTATTTTCCGTGCTCATCTTTTTCTTTTTCCTTTTTTTTCTTTTCTTATGTCAAATGAAAGCAAAAATCTCAAGGGAAACATAGAATTTAGAATAAAACAGATTGTTATTTGTCCACCTACTACTGCTACGTTTTTATTTCCATGGATAATTATGAAATAACATTAAGTATTTGTGATCCGGCGTTTCCTTTCGATTGGCATGAGAAAAATCTAATTCTCTATGTATGATCATTATCTTTTCATTGGAAAAAAATCGACTAAGAGAAGAGAAAATAATAAATCAAGAATATTCACAAGATGACGATGGAAGAAACGCCATCCACTCAGTTGTGTCCTCGGCGGTCGATTAAACGCAAACGAGTCAAATTTATCAGGTAAAAAATTTTCCTATATTGATAAGTATTATAAATTATTTACAAAATTACGGAACCTATTAAACGTTATCGATGAATAGCGGAAACGCGTTCATATATTGTTCATCGGAGCGTATGTATTTTATTTGCTTATATTTTTACTTTTGTAAAAAGCGAACGAAAAAATATCCGAGTAATAAAATCATTTATATATTTGCGTGTTTTCATGTATGTATGTATATATATATATATATATTTTTTTTTTATCGCTTTTTGTTCTGTGTAAGATTCTACTCTCGCTTGTATTATCCTAGTTGATTTTTAGTGACATGCGATCTTACTTATTTTTATTCTCCAAAGGAAACAACGGTTTCTTCTTTCTAATAGAAAGATATAGTGTAGATCACTTTGACTGGTTTTTTGCTGTTTATTGATACTAGGTTTAAATTACTCTCGATATTCTTGAACATACTCGACTAATGCATATAAATAATGGTAGACGCAGAGAAAGAATTTCTACTCAATAGAAAATAAAAGAAAACGCATTTGCAAAAATAGACAAAACTAATGACGATGATACGTCGTGGTATAGGGTGAGAACGTTTTCACTCTACCATAGATCATCATCATCTGCAAGAAAGTAATAACAACAACGGAACAGAATAGATAATAATTAAGTTATGACAAAACAAAACATCAATCACGATCATTCATATTGTTATTATTTCTGTTCTTTAGAATGTACGAACCACATATAAATCAACTATCAAATAGTAATGAAAACCATGAGCTGGTCGATGATGTTATATTTGAAGATGAAACCTCACCAACAGTTATATCACAACATAATTCAAGACCTACCATACATTGGGATCTTGTTGTTGAAGGTGATCCAAGTGGTAAAGAACAAATCAATACCGACACAGATCAATTCGATGCTTTATTTGCACGCTCCAATGCGTCACCATTGCCTTCACCTCATCCTCGTTGTTATAGTTCATGTTCACCATCGCCTGCTCCACAATTATCACCGTCGAATACTTCAGCACATCTTATTGCCAAATCGCAACCTCTATTGCCTTCGTCGCCTTCATTCAAGCAAAAGCAATCATGTGACATCACAACAGACACAAGTCATAGACAATCTACGTCGTCGACATCAACTCCTAAAAGTCAACAATCGAATCCTGCATTGGCACGTACAAAACGTAAAAATTTTTCCCTGACACATGCAGCACAAACATTTCTACAGGCATCGAATACTCAAAATGAACAGTTAGAACCACTAGCACGCTCATGTTCTTATAAACGTCCTCAATCAATAAAAAAATATCGGCAGAAGAAGAAAGAAAAAGATCAACAGCAATATTTTTCTGCACACAAATCTAACACAAGCACTACATCACAGAACAACCAGAGTTTCCATCGAGTTACATCCGATTCCTTTCGCAAATCTACAGCAACTCCAACAGGAAGAGTTTCTATTGCCGATCTTATGGCAAACGATGATACATCAGACCAATGGTCAAGTCCAAATACCGAACGAGCAGCACGGATTGGTAAGATAAATAAGTAGTTTTTTGTGTACTCAGAAAAAGTGAGCACACTCTAGATTCGGTCAATGTGTCTGGCTGTTAACATGATAACCTTTAAATGCCTCATCCAATTGTCATGAAATGTTGTACACATAATGATCTCATTAATATCTCAGTCGAGTTCGAAGATGAGAGGGATCCGTCAAGAAGTGGCTGAGTTATCGAAAAAATTGCCAGTATTGACCAGACCATCCCTGAGGCGGGGGGGGGGGTACAGGGTTTTTTTAAAAACAAAAATTTTAATAGAATTATACACAAAA